GGAACCCCCCCCCCCCCCCGAGGAAGACAAGGGTGGCCAGCAGGGGTTCTGGGGAGGTGGGTGCACAGTGGGGCACCTCCCAACCTCATTCTGTATTGGGAGAACAGCAGGCCCAAGAACTTCTATCCCAGAAGGCAGGGCTGGGGGAAGAGGCATGAGGAGCCGAGGGTGGAGCTGAGAAACCTGAGACCCCAGGCCAGGGCCTCCTCCTCCCGCCTGCCGACCCCACGTAGGCCCTGGACCTACTGCTTCATGGCCAGGAGCTTGGAGTCCATGCACTCCTGTTTCCCCTTCATCAGCTGCACATCTGTCAGCAGCTTGGTGACACTGTCCTGGCGGATCTTTATGTCCTCACTCTTCAGGGTGGACACCTGGGTCGGGGGTAGGAGGGCGTCACTGAGGTACCCTGGGGCTTGGCAGGCCTGGGACACAGTGGAAAGGCCCTAGGGCCTGCGGTCTGCAGAGGGGCTGGGAGGGACTGAGGCAGTGCCAGGTGGGTGGGGCCTGTGAAGGACAGCAGGGCGGCAAGGGCTCGGGGCTGAGGCCAGGACTCACACTGGTCACTTTCCTCTTGATGCTCTCCAGGAGCTGCTCCTGGCCACGCAGGAAGCACGGGTGCTGGAACTCAGTGTCGTCCCTCTCTGGCTTGACCAGGCCACCCTGCTCAATGTGGACCACTTTCCGAAAGCCATCTACATGAGACAGGATGGGGCAGCTCTTCTAAGTGCTGAGGACCAGATGCCCCTGCCCCCAGCCTGGCCACTGTGTCAGGAGGCTCCTGGAGAAGCGTTGCACGTGGCACAATCTCAGTCAGACACCACACTGCCACTCAGAGCCCATACCTGTGGGGGCTGGGTGGTCTTGGTCTAAGGGGAAGCCCCTGTCCCCACATGGCTCCCCCTCCCTGGTGAGTGTAGGAGTGCAGCTAGGACATCACAAGCTCTTCTCTGGGGACCCCAGGTTCACACTCACAAGGACCCTTCCCCCAAAGAAGAGGCACCCTGCGGAGGCCCCTGGTGTGCTGGGCTCCACACCAGGCCCTGGGCCAGCACGGGGCTCCGCCTCCACCTGGCACAGCCTAGAGGCGAGGAACTCACACATGTTGAGCTGCCGCACGAAGCTGGCCATGTTGCTGTGCTTGAAGTACTTGGGCAGCACCTCCTTGGCGAACTGGCCCTGGTCAAACACGTGGAAACTGCTCCCACTCTGCCGGGGGACACGGTAGGTCATAGGGGCGCTGAGGCGACAGGTGCCACAGCCCAAGGCACCCCTTTCTGTGCAGCGGGTAGCACGGCATTCCCACCCTGTGGGGCTGGCGCCACAGGTGTCCCCGAGGGGCTGGCAGGAGGTGAGTTTGCCCCTGGGACCACCAGTCAGCTGTGCCTTGCCTGTGACTCCTGGCCTGTGCCCCCACGGGGAGGCCCAGGACTGGGTGATGGGAGCCACAAGGCCAGTGCTGGGGTCCTCGTCACAGTGGGGAGCCCCAGAGGTTCCCAGACACTAAGTCTACACTCATAAAACACCCACAGCAAGCCCAGCCTGTCCTCTAGGGGACAGGTATGAGCTTCAGTCAGCCCGTTTTCCTCCAGAACTGCAAAGGCTGCACACTGAAGCGGCCGGGGCAAAGGGAACCCAATGCCTGTTATGCCAGAAGAAAACACACAGTTGTGGCAGAAGTGTGCCTTTGCCCTTCTTTCTGCACGTGAGACGCAACAGAGACATCGGGCGGCGCACACTGCCCCTCTTCCAGGACCTTCCCACGCTTAGTCCAGGCGCCGGTAGAAGGGTCTGGCAAGGGGGCGTCCGTTGGGGAGGGAGCCACGGAAGGGAAGGGACGGTGGCTTGTCATGGGTGCCAGAGCGGGACCAGACCAGTGAGGAGGGTGTCCACACAAGAAGGTGATGATGGGACACAGCCACACTGAAGCAACCGATCCAATGAAGAGATCCGTTAAGGACAGAGGGAGTAGGTCTCTCCCTGTCAGAGAAGGGAATTACTGCTGTGAAAGGGAAAAACCAGAAAGTCCCCTGCGGTGTGCAGAGTTGGAGCTTTCCGATATGCAGAGCTATGGTCGTAAGCACGGACGAAAGCGTGCGAGTGAGCAGAGTCAGTGGTGACAGGCTGCAGAGAAGCAAAGGAAACACTGGCTGACATCAGCCACGCTGTTTAGAACTCTGAGGATTAACCAAAGAATGGCAGCAATACGGGCAGCGTCACCCCAGCAAGAGCAGCGAGCGTCCGGCCTTTCAACTCGCCATCCCCACGCTGTCTCCTGCAGCCCTGTGGACCAATGCTGTGATCAGGACACTCAGACAACCATCCACCCCTGACAGCCCAGCAGCTCCCTGCGAGGTCCCACTTGCAAGGCTGTCCCTGTTTGATTTGACTTGAAGCTCTCCCCGTGGAAAAAAGCCTTTTACCTAGGGGTACTGTTGAAACATCTAGAGGTGATTTTTAACTGTGGCTGCCCAAAGCAGTGCATAACAGTTGGGGAAAACAGTGGACTAACCAGAGAACTTAAAAGGAAAAGCTGGTGAAAGGGATACGATCAGGGGCTTGGGAAAGCTCTGAACCATTCCTGGGACTCTAGAAGCCTCGTGCACACGCAGGGCTGAGCGCACACTCAGGAAAGACCTGAATGAGCCCTGAACTCTCACCTCAGGCTGACCTTGAGGCTCTGTGGAAGCAATAAGTGAAAGATAAAGTAGGATTGTCAACGGCCTGGCCAGGGCTCAAGGTACTCCCCAATGTAATAGACAGAGTCCACCAGAAAAGAGAGGCTCACCCAGACTCACCAGCTCCAGGCATCTGAGGAAATTTCCACCCCATCTCCACCTGACTAGCTAACTGAACAGACGGCAGTGGCCACAAGCAGCAAACAACACAGCCTTTACAGATTAGTTCAGAAAAGTCACCAAACAAATAACTACTGCAACAAACAGCAACAGATACTGGGAAGGGGTACTGGACCTCCAGAGTTGCCACATTATATTAATTAAAACTCTAGTTTTCCACAAAAATTATGAGATGCAAAGAAAAAAGAAGGTATGGCCCATCTTCAGGAAAGAAAGGAAGCCCAGGGCACTGTCAAAAACAGCAGAGCGACCGGGCAGTCACCGACGGAGCTGAAGGGCAGTGAGCAGGGAGGTCAAAGAGAAATGGACTTCACTAAAATAGCCTCGCTAAGTCACAAACAATTAAACGACAACAAAAATAAACACTGGAGAGGGTGAAGGACAGTCAATCAGAGGCATTACAATATATTAACTAAAATGTACAGCTTTTATACAAAAAAACACAAGACATGTAAGAAACAGGAAAAGTGCGACCCACACCCAGGGGAAGTGAGCTCCTGAGACTGCTTGCGGAAGGCACAGATGTCAGACTTAAGACAGACTTTGAGGAAGTCATTGTAAATGTTGAAAGAACTAAAGGAAACTGTGCTTGAAGAAGTAAAGGAAGGTAACATGACAATATCTTATCACATAGGGAAAGTCAGTGAAGAGATAAAAGTACAATAACTGAAATGAAAAATTCATTAGTGGGGATCCTTAGTAGATGTGAACTGGCATAAAAAAGAATCAGGAAACTTGAAAATAGGTTGATGAAAATTATGCAATCTGAAGAACAGGAAAAAAAGAACATAGAAAAATAAAGTGTCCAAAAAAAAAAAAAGTGGGACATGTTTAATTGCACCAGCATACATTTAATAGGAGTACCATAAGGAGAGAGGAAAGAGAAAGGACGAGAAAAAATATTTAAAGAAATAAGGCCTGAAAACTCCCCAGATTTACTAAAAGATCCATGAATATAGTATGTCTCCATTTACTTAGGTCATCTGTGATTTCTCTCATTAAATGTTTTATAATTTTATAGTTTTGGCATACAGTATTAAGTTTTGTATTGAAATTTTATCAGCATTTGTTTTTTTTTTTTTTTGTCTTTTGTCTTTTTTCCGTGTCCGGCAACGGATCGCAACCCTCAGTGTTGCCCCCGTACCGGACCGGGGACCGGCAACGGGATTGCAACCCTCGGCGCTGCCCCCGCGCCTCGCTCAGCCAGTGAGCGGGAACCGGTCTGTATGTGGGATCCGAACCCTTGGGCGGGAGCGCCACCGCGCTTCCCAAGCGGCGCACTTATCCAGTGCGCCACCGGGCCGGCCCTCAGCATTTATAAATGGTATTTAAAAAGCTAGTTTCAAGGGCTGGCCCGTGGCTCACTTGGGAGATCATGGTGCTGACAACACCAAGTCAAGGGTTAAGATCCCCTTACCAGTCATCTTATCAAATAAAGTAAAATAAAATAAAAACTAGTTTCCTACTGTTTATTGCTAGCATGTAGAAATAAAGTAGATTTGTGTGTGACCTTGTATCTAGTGACTTGCAAAACTCATTCTTCAGTTATAAGAGTATTTTTGCAGACTTCTTGGGGTTTTCTATGTAGGCAATCATGTTATTTGTGAATAAGAACCATTTTATTTCTATTTCTTATCTTGTACTGGACAGTACTTGGACTGGACTGGTGCCTTGTTCCTTCTCTTAGGAAAAACGCCTTCAGTCTTTATCACTAAGTATGATGTTAGGTGTAGATTTTTTTTTTTTTTTTTTTTTTGTGGACATTTTTGTATCAAATTGAAGAAATTCCCTGGTATTCCTAACTTTTGAGGTTTTTTGTTTCTTTTAATGTAATGACTGACAAATTTTGTCAAAATTTTTTTTTGACAAATAATATAATCGTGTAGCATGAAAGCAGCCATAGACAAAATATTTATGAATGTTTGTGGCTGTGTTCCAGTAAAACTTCATTTACAAAGACAAGCAACCAACCCATGGCTGGTAGTCTGTGGACCTCTTTGCCTTCCCGTTTGTGGTGGTTGTCTTTCTATTACATCCACGTGCACTGTAAACCCCATCAGACAACACCATTTTAAAGAACTAAATCACATATTCTAAAGAACTAAAGAAGAGAAGATTAGCTTCGTATATATCCAGATAGATAGTATTCCTGTTCATTTCCCATCGTAACTGATGTTCCAAGTTGCTATCTGGTGTCACTTGCCTTCTGTGTGAAGAACTTCCTTTATCAATTCTTTTAGAGCAGGTTTGCTTGCAACATATTTTCGTAGTGTCCTTTACTTAAGGATGTTCTTTATTTAACCTCCATTCCTGGAGAGTATTTTCACTGGAATATAGCATTCTGAGCTAATGGCTTTTTTGTTCATCCCATTGCTTCTGGCTTCCACGGTTTCTTTTTTTTTTTTTTTTAAAAAGATGACCGGTAAGGGGATCTCAACCCTTGGCTTGGTGTTGTCAGCACCACGCTCAGCCAGTGAGCAAACCAGCCATCCCTATATAGGATCCGAACCCGTGGCCTTGGTGTTATCAGCACCGCACTCTACCGAGTGAGCCACTGGCCGGCCTATGGCTTCCACGGTTTCTGATGAGAAATGCACAGCCATGGGAGTTGTTACCGCCTAATCGGCAATACATTGGTTTTCTCCGGATGCATTCAGAATCTTCAGTTTGTCTAGTTTTCGGAAGCTTGATTATGATGTCTTGGTGTAGATTTCTTTGGGTTTATCTTTTTGTGGCTTGCTGAACTTGAGGTTTAAATCTTTTGCCTAACTTGTAAGTTTTTACCTGTTATTTCTTCAAACGTTTTTTTCTCTGCATTTCTTTCTGTTCTCCTCCAGGGACTCTGATGACATGAATGTCAGCCCCTTGGTGCTGTCCCACAAGTCAGTGAGGCTTTAGTCACTGGAGATCTTCCTGCTGCTTTACCATCACCACGTTCATTGACTTTCCTCTGTCTGCTCCATCTGCTAGTGACCCTGTCCAGTGTTCCTTATTTTGGTTACCGTAATTTTCAGTTCTAAAATTTCAACTCAGTCCTTCATTTTTTTTTTGGCAGCTGGCTGGTATGGGGATCCAAACCTTTGGTGTTATAAGGCTGCGCTCTAACCAACTGAGTTAACTAGCTTCAACTTATTTGTAAGTTTTATTTCCCTGCTAAATCTTTCATTTCAAGAGTGTCTATCTTTACTTCTTACAACATTTTTATAATAGCTGCTTTATAGTACTTGTCAGATAATTCCAATATCTGTGCCGTCTCAGCTACTGGCATCTTTTAATCTTTTCCCATGTGAATTGAGATTTTCATGGTGTGCATGTATATAGAGCAATAGATTGTATCTTGGTATTACAGGTTGAATTGTGCCCCCACAAAAAGAT